CTCCCTCCTCCCCTCCTGCTGGTTCCTCCTCGCCTCGTCCATCCCTTTCTCCTCCCCCCTCCCAAACTACTCATCCATCCTTCCGCCTCCTCCTTCTCACCCTTGTCTTTGCCGTCCTCGTCGACGAGGAGGAGAAGCTCTTCCCAATCCTCACCGCGTGCCTCCTTCACATCCTTCCCCCCATCACTCCTCATTTCCCGCTCTTGCTCCTCCTCCTTCTCCTCCTCCTCCTCCTCTTCCGCCTCCTCCTTCCCCCTCGGCCCTCGTCGTTATCGTGGCTGTTCGGGGAGGAAGGGGGGAAGATCGAAGACCTCCGACCTCGCGTTTTGTTCACAACCATCCTGTGGTGTTGGGTCCTCGCTTTGAAGAGACAGCGCCCCGCGTCTCTTCCTCTCATCTCCTCCTTCCTCCTTCTTCTTCCTCCTCCTCCTCCTCCTCCTCCTCTCCTCCTCCTCCTCTCCTCCTCCCCCTCCTCATCCTCCTCCTCCTCCTCCTCCTCCTCCTCCTCCTCCTCTCCCTCCTCCTCCTCCTCCTCCTCCCTCCTCCTCCTCCTCCTCCTCCCTCCTCATCCTCCTCCTCCTCCTCCTCCTCCTCCTCCTCCTCCTCCTCCTCCTCCAATCTCTGCCTCTGCCCTCCGCACGTCCACCATTTCAGCGCACCCAGTACAGCGCTCCGTGGCCCCAGCGGAAGCTCCACCGAGGGCCCCAGGGGCTGCGCTCTCACGGCACCACCGCGCCCATTTCGGCACACCCCTCACACGTGTCGTGGCCCCATCGGACGCTCATGGCGCCACCGCGCCCCTTTCGGCACACCCCTCACACAAGTCGTGGCCACATCGGGGGCTCCAGCGAAGGCACCAGTGGCTGCGCTCGCATGGCACCACAGCGCCCATGTCGGCACACGGGTCACACGTTCCGTGGCCCCACGAGAAGCTCCACCAACGCCCAGTGACTGCGCTCGCAGGGCGCCACCGCACCCATGTCGGCACACCCGTCACACGTTCCGTGGCCCCATAGGGAGCCTCACCGAGGGCCTCAGGGGCTGCGCTCGCATGGCACCACCGCACCCATGTTGGCACAGCCCTCACACGTTTCGTGGCCCCATGAGGAGCTCCACCAAGGTTTCAGTGGCTGCGCTCGCATGGCACCACCGCACCCATATTGGCACACCCCTCACAACCTTCGTAGTCCCATGAGGAACTCCACAAAAGGCTCTAGTGGCTGCGCTCGCATGGCGCGACCGCACCGATTTCGGCACACCCCTCACATGCTTCGCGGCCTCATAAAGAACTGCACCGAAGGCCTCAAAGGCTGCGCTCGCATGGCAATGCCGCACCCATTCCGGCACCCCTCACACGATTCGTGGCCCCACAGAAAGATCCATCAAGGGCCCCAGTGGCTGCGCTCACATGGCACCACCGCGCCCCATAGGGAGCCTTACCGAGGGCCCCAGGGGCTGCGCTCGCATGGCACCACCTCGAAGCTCCACCAAGGCCTCAGTGGCTGCGCTCGCATGGCACCACCGCACCCATGCCAGCACACCTCTCACACGTTGCGTGGCACCATAGGGAGCTCCTCCGAGGGCCGCAGTGGCTGCGTTCGCATGGCACCACCGCGCCCATCTCGGCACACCCTTCACACGTTTCGTGGCCCCATAAGGGGCCCCACAGAGGGCCCCAGTGGCTGTGATCGCACGCGTCGCTTCTTCCCTTGTCGGCACACCTCTCACACGTGACGTGGCTCCATAGGGAGCTCCACCGAAGACCCCAGTGGCTGTGACCAAATGTTTTCCCGCCAACCATTCGAGCACACCCCTCACACGTTTCGTGGCCCCATGAGGAGTTCCACCGAAAGCTTCCATTGCTGCGCCCGCATGCCTCCCCGCCATCCATTTCGGCACACCCAACAAACGCTTCGTGGCCCCATAGGGAGCAGCACCGACGAGGATACGCATCACTGCGGTACTCACAACTGCACATGGCTTGGCCACCAAGCTCAACCAAAAAATAGACAGGATAACCAAACTGTGCCCCTCGAGACATTCAGGGGACCAAGCGGTAACACGATGTAACAAACATCACGATGCCAGGGGTCTGGGACTTCAATCATATTTTTCCTCAAGATGTCATCGGTCTGGGATCGGGATCCCCCTTTGGCTCAAGTCGCTGTGGCTTAGCCTCTGGCTCATGCGATGTGCTCTGGAACCAGACTCGCAATCGCGAGCTTCAGGCCAACGCTCAAGCCGGGCACTCAGAGCTGCAAACAACAAGAAAACGCAGCACGACCAGATCTCAACGCTGGCGTGCGCGAGCGCGAGGGCGACGACAAAATATAACATCCAAGCACTGTACGTCTACATCACGTTTGCGCCGCAGTGCCACTCTGCTTCTCATCACGAGGGGGGGCCAGGCGGAGGCCCTTCCCGCGGACGGGCTTCTCATCCTGAGCTGTGCGGGAAAGATCTATATCCATATCCAGTGCGTCCTGCACTTTCTTGGAAAGGGCGCCACAAGGCCGAGGCGCACTGGACATGGATAAAAATCGAGCCTCCGGGCGTAAATTTATCCATACCCAGTGCGCCTCGGGTTTCTGTGGGAGCGAACCCGAAACTCCATACTGCAGTGGATATGGACAGAAGTAGTGCCCGCGAGCTGCTCTCTGCCTGTCCATGGGCCTGGAACTGGGCTCCTGCAGGGGCCGAATTTCGCGGAGGAGCCAGCCGCCGCGACTTCGTGACGACGCCCGGACCTCAGGGGTGAGAGGCCGGACGCCTGCCAAGCATCGAGGGCGGATCGAAAACGGCAAAAGACGTTCCGTCGCGAGTGCTCCCCGGCGCGGGGGAGGTCTCCTGTGGGTGCCGATCCCCAAGAAACCTCCCACCGGAAACCCGACCCTGAGACCCCAGGACGTCCATGGATTCTTGGAGCGGGAGCGTCACGCCTTCCGTGGCAAAACCACCGAGACCCAAGAGACCCAGGGCACCCTGGAGGCAAGCAGGAAGTTTCTCGGCAGGGGCCCCCCACTGTAAGAGGTGCGCCCGCCCACGCCGCGCCGGCCGGGCGAGGGGCTCCCTGCCCCCGAAGGCCACGCCGTCGAAGTGGAGCGGTATGGCGCCTGGCTCCGCCCCGCTGCCCTCCCAGGTGGTGCCGCCCGGGCGGGCGGGGCCCCCTTCTATCCGCCCTCCTGCCTCCTCCTCACCCCTCCTCCCTCCTGCATCCTCCTCATCCCTCCTCCCTCCTGCCTCCTCCCTCTTGCTTGGCTGCTCTGCTCTCCTAGTCGTTTCCTTGCTGTCATCTCTGTCCAGCTCATTTCTTGATAGTTGGTATAAGATTTGACTTGCATTCGAGCACCGCACACGCGCATGCCGACGCTCAGCAGCAACCTCCTCCCCCATTCTGCCTGCCTCGGCGCAGCGGTCGGCTTCGGTGCTGTTGCCCGTCGAGCGGCCGCGCGCCGCTCTCGCGGCCCTCGGGGCCCAAGGCCAGGTGGCCCACTGCCTGCCTGCGGGCACCCAGCCTCGCCTCCTCTTGACGCCGCGCATGCAGGGCGCTCAGCGTACTGCGCCTCATTCCAGTGCCCGAGGACATGGGCCCCTCTGGGATCTTCCTCCCGTTCTGCAAGGTCTCCCTCCTCTGGCCCCCCCGCCTGCCCCCCTCGGCCTCTCCGTCTTCTGCCCACCAGCCCCGCTGGGGAGAGGGCCGGCCTGCAACACAGCTTGGAGCAGACTCGGCGGGCCCTGTTTCGATAGCTGTCTCCTTGCTGCCAGGGTCCCTGGTGGCGGAAGTGGCACTTCGCGCCACCCAGCCAACCCCCTGTGCGCTCGAGAACGGCACGACGCCCAATCCGACGTTCGACGACGATCTCTTCTCCCTCTTCATCCTGCCTGTTCATCCCTCCTCCTCCTCCTCCTCCTCCTCCTCCTCCTCCTCCTCCTCCTCCTCCTTCCCCCGTCTCCTCCCGTTGGAGACGGTGCGATACCAGCATCGAGGGGCGCACCACGACGCTGCTGCTTCAGGAGTCTGCAAATCGTACCCTCTATTGCCTCATCGCTGTGGCAGGGTAAACTGCGAGACCAGCGCCAATTTTAGGTCGGGCATGTCCCCCTACAGGCGGATTTTGGACAAAAAAGAATAAGTACTCAAAATAGTCCAAAAATAATATTTAAAAATAGCCCTCATACTATTTATGACTATTTTGGCATATTCCTCCTGGAGAGGGACACGCCCGACTTAACGCCAGTCCCCATGGGGCGTGTACGTGTCGGTTCCTGACCCTTCACCGCTGCGCCCGCTGTCACGTGGCCGCAGTCGCGCCCCTGGAGAGGCCCAGGAGGGGCAGCCTGTTCGCGAGGGGAGGGCCCTCGCTCCCGGCGGGAGGTGTGGCAGCCCCACACCTTGAAATCCCGGGTGGCTCTCGACCGGGCCAGCAGTTGGGGGCCCCACTCGGGGATGCATGGAAGAAAGGGGGGGCGCCCATCCTCGGAGGCGCGTCTGGCTAGCGCCCCCCGGAGTGTATTCCCGAGTTCCCCTCCTGTGCGAAGCGGCGTGTGCTTTCGCGGAGACCTCTCGGGGATCTGATGGCAAGAACCTCCCGCTTCGCTCCACGATAGAGGCTGATGGGCATTTTTCAATACGAAAGCAGGACGGAGAGAAATCCAGAGGAACAGACATCGAGAATCTCTGAGACTTGGCGGGTTTGGAGATGCATCGTGCGCCGCGGTCGTTTCGTTGCAGAGCGCTCCAGACACTCTGGGAACATTCTGGAACGCTCGACCCGCGGCGCACGGCGGGGGCCCGCTAGGGGGGCGCAGTTAATTCCGCGCCCTGCGCCGCCCCTGGGGTCGGGGTCCAAGCCGCGCCCACGGCTCCCAGCAACTGGCGAGGCCATCCTCCGCGCGGGCCGCCGCGGACTGCAACCGCTCGAGCCCGCCGTGCCAGGATGCCCGCGCGCGCCGTGCCCGCTGCTCCCTTGCAACTCGCCATGGCCGCCGCGCAGCAGCCACTACCGTCGCTGGGGCCGATCCGACAGGTGGGCCAATTCAAGCGCCCCGACATGGCGGCGGAGCCAGGCCTGCCGCCGCGGCTCCATCTCGCCCACCTGCGCATGGGGCTGCCGCAGATCGTGCGCCTCGCCGCCAGGGGGCCCCAGCGCGTCGCGCAGCACGTCCGCCTCGGCCTCGTATCCCAAGTTGTCGCGGAAGTCTGTCTCGCCAGCCTCCACGAACCTTCTCTCGATCGCCGCCGCCCCCGCCGCAGAGAGCGACGCGATCTCCGCGGCATCTGCGGCGGTGATGCGACCCTCCCTGGCCGCTCGGTGGAGCTCCTCCAGGTAGCGCGCGGCGTCGGAACTGTCCACGGTCAGCTCCATGGAGTACAGCTTCGCGCCCACCCATTCGTGCACCTCTCACGCGTCAGCCAGCTCCCCCGCCCGCGAGGCTTGGACAGCTAGCTGCGCGAATCGCGCCGGCAGGCTCTCGAACGCCGCGGCCCCAGCAGGAAAGCCCGCTCGGGGCGCCTCCCGCGCGGCTCCCCCTGCTGATCGTCCAAATCCTGGTCCCTCGCTCCTGCGGCACCCTCGTCGTGCAGGGGCGACTCGGCGTCGGGAGCGCCGAGCCAAGCGCAAGCCACGCGCGCCCGCGCACACCACCAGGTGGCCCCCACAACGGCATCGCCGCGCACGGCAACTGCGGCCCTCCCCTCGCACGGTGGGTCGCTGCCTCCGCCGCTTAGCACCGCCGCATCGTAGCGGACCAGGTACTCCAGGACGTCGCGGCTGGGCTCCGAAGAGGTGACGGGGCTGGCAGAGCAGTCCGTGGCCCCGTCCGCGTCTCCCGTACCAAGCCCCGCACCGTGGCCGCTCTCTTCGCTGCTGCAGCAGTCGCCCTCCCTGTCCTCACAGCTGCTGGCCACGGCATACTGCGATGGCGCGAAGGCGCCTGTGGCAAGGTTCTCAGCACCAGCACAGGCATCCGTCGGCCCCTCGTGCTCCACCCGGACGCCCTCCATGAGCACCGCAGAAGCGGCGTGCCCGTCCTGCACCCCCTGGCTCCCTGGCTCGGGGGTGAACGGCACGGCGTCCTCCCGAAGTGGGAAGGCCTGCGGCGTGAGCACGGACCCGAGGGAAGTCGCAGGGACGCCGCACGGCATGGCACGGGCCCTGCGGGCGCCTGGCGGGGCTGCGTGGCGAGACCAATTCGCCGCTTCCAACAGCGACTGGCACCTCCCCGAAGTCGATCAGCAGGTCGGACTGGCCCGCGAGCACCTGGGCGAGGGCCTCCCCCCTGCTCACAGAGTGGGCGCCCAGCGCGCCGCTGACGGCCCAGTGCGCCGCGAGGCCCGCCCTCAGGGACTTCGTCCTCCAGGCGAGGGCGCACGCTCGGGACACCCCAAACTCCCCGCGCCTCCGCCTGCGCAGGCGCCTCGCCAGCGTGCGCGCCGAAGCAGCCGCCCACGCCGCGCCGCCAGGCGCCTCCATCGGCCACCTGCGCGCTCCCGCGGCGCCCGACGGGCGCGCCGCCTCTCCCGCAGCCAGGCTCGCGTGAGCCAAAATGGCTGCGGACGGTGGGGGCATTGAGTGAGGAACCCTTGGACAAGGAATCCGGGGTCTGAAAGCTGGTGGAGCACCGATTGATGCTTGGCCACGGATAGCACCGCCGCCTTCACCAGAGAAGGAATTCTCCAGGGTCTGGAGCCTCCTGGTACATTCCTGATCGAATGCCTTCACCGTGGGCAGGTTGGCGTTGTGGCGGGTTGGGCTGGTTGGGCTGCTCGGCGGGGTTGCGGGTGGGCTGGTTGGGCTGGCTAGTGTGCTGGCTAGGGCAATTAGCTTCGATCATATCCATGCGCTCGCGGTCTGCACACGGGGGCGTGATCCCGTGGATACGCGATCACTTGGATATGTTTCACGCAGGGCAGCCACGCGAAACCGCCATGTATCCATAGGTCGCGGCAGAGAACTCCAGACCGAGAACTCCATGGACACACTCCCTCAACTCCGACGTCGACGCCATTGTTTCGCAACGTGGGCCTCCTACTAATCTTGACTTCCTAGGGACCGGCTTTCCATCCTGAGTCATGTTCTGACGGTCCCGGGGGCTGGGACACGGCATCCAGAGGCCGAGCACGCAGAACAACCAGCCGTCGCGCGAACTTTTCCCCACCGTCCCGTGTTGTGGTTGGTCCTCATTTCGGATCCACAGCGTCGCGCCCTATTCGGGGATGGACAGACCCCCCTTTAGCAAAACGTGGTTTAGTGAAAACGACCTGAGGCCCAAACCTGGCGGGCGCAAGCCTGGAAAATAACGGCCACGGCGCCCTCTCGAAAACCGAAAACGGACAATTCACTAATCGACGTGTCACTGTTGGGGTATCTGTCCACCCCCGACCTATCTCCTCCTTCCCACCTCCACCCTCCGCTTCCTTCTCGCCTTTCCGCCCACGGCCACCACACACGCCCCGTGGCCCACAGGGGAGCTCCACGGAGGGTCCCCGCGGGGCCCAGGCTGCAACACACAGCAACGCTGGCCGACGAGATCTGCTTGCGACGCCCAGCTCTGAAAGCCTCCCGCCCGCGGGCCTGGCCAGGCCAGCCCAGCATCGAATCGATGAGTCGGATTCTGCGATGGACACGAGCCGCAGCACAGCGGCAGGCTGGTGGGCCTCCGCTGCGGCCGACACTGCACCTGCAAGGTCGGCATCCGAGGTCGAACCGGCTCGGCATCGGAGGCCATCGAATTGAGCAGGGACCGACCGTCCCGGCATTCCTATAGTCGTACCTCGGCATGTTCTCAGAACCCAGAGATGTTCTAAGAACAAAAAGAATGCTCTTAGAACAGAAACCCGATGCGTTAAATAAAACAAGACAGTCCCATCCAGAAATGTTCTAAGAACATTGCGTGGCAACCACACAAGGTCCTTAGAACATTGTTTGGTGGGGCCATAGGCGAGCCGGGACGCTTCGCCACTGCTTGACCGAAACCGAGCCGAGCCGCCCCGGAGCCGAGGCGAGCCCCGCCTGGGCTGCCCGCGGCGCCGCGGCCGCTCGCCAGCGGCGTGCCCGCCGGGGGCGCCGCGGAGCCGGGCGATGCGCGGCAGGTGGCGAGGCCGTCGGCGACGCGCACCTGCCGGCCGCAGGCAGGGGCCGCGGGTCCCTTCCAAGAGGCTGCCGGCAGGCCCTCTGCATGAGACTAACAAGAGGACTAACAAGAAGACTAACAAGAAGACTAACACGAAGACTAACAAGAGGAAGACGACTAACAAGAAGAAGGAGAGGCCTCCCAGACCAGAAGGGGAAGAAGAATAGCAAAACCACATAGGCGTAGACTTTTGGCGCGCCGCGCGGACTGCTTGGGCTCGCGCTGGGCCCCCCACCCCTGGCGCGCGGAGCGCGCCAGGGGCGGCGCCGGGGGCCCAGGCGCGTATCCAAGAGATCCGCGCGGAGCGCCAGAAGTTTACGTTGATGTGGTTTTCTCTCCTTCGGCAGACGGGGTCGGAGGGTCGCGCGGCATCGGCGATGCATCGGCGATGCCTCGGCGATGCGCTGGCGATGCACGGGCGACGTCGGCGATGTGTCGGCTTCGTCGGCGATGCATCGGCGACGTCCGCGTGAAGAAAATCGGGCTCCACCTCGAGCCACATCGCCGATGCATCGCCGATGCAACGGCGATGCATCGGCGATGCATCGGCGATGCGTCGAGATCCTTCGACCCCAGCTACTCCGACCCCATCTGTGAGGCCTAGATCTGCAGGAGGAGAACAAACTGCATGAATCAACATTTTTTTGATCTGCAGGGCGAGAGCGAACCTCTTCCGCTGAAAGCTAAGCGGGACGCGCACAGCTTTAATGAGCAGAGAAAGGGCGGAAGAAGGCGGGGCCTCACGCGGCCAGGAGCGGGCGAAGCCCGGGGATCAGGCGGTGCCGAAGTGGACGTGCACTGCATGAATCAAAATGCACAGTAACCTTCGTAGCTCCACGCGAATTTCTCGGATCGGCGCCGAGCCACCCTCCACGGCGCGCAGGGCACGCCAGGGGCGGCACCAGAGGCGCCGGCAGGAGGCCCCAGCGGATCCAGGCAGCCCGCGCGGGGCTCCATAAGGGTACGCTTATGACAAAAGCTCTTCTTCGACTTCAGCCCTCTGGGCTTTGGGGTGAGCTGTCATGGTAGCCTCTGTGGATATTCGCGGCATACCCAGCAGCGTGATTTCGACCAGGCTCTGGTTCGTCCAGGTGTCGTCCAGGTTCCGTCCAGGATTCACCCCAGGTTTCGTCCAGGCTCCGACCGCTTGCCGTCCGGAGTTCGCCCAGAGTTCGTCCAGACGGCGACCAAATTCGATGCCATCCGGACGACCTCTCCAACACCGCAAGGAGTTCGGGGAACCCCGAGGAGGAGGAGGAGGGGCGTGGTCTCAGCTGGGCGCAGCTCGGACAGCTGGGGCGTGTTGGGCCACTGGAGAGGTCCGGGGGCCGACGTTGAGCTGCCCGTTGTCTCTCCTCCTCCTCCTCCTCCTCCTCCTCCTCCTCCTCCTCCTCCTCACCCCTCCTCCTCCTCCTCCTCCTCCTCTTCCTCCTCCTCCTCCTCCTCCCCCTCCTCCTCCTCCTCCTCCTCCTCCTCCTCCTCCTCCTCCTCCAAGGAATTCGGGGAACCCCGAGGCCCCAGGGGCGCCTAGCCTTCGCGCTCCGCGCTGCGCGCGAACGCGCACCACCCGGTGCCCTCGCGCCGCCCCCCCCCGGAGGAGGAGGAGGAGGAGGAGGAGGAGGAGGAGGAGGAGGAGGAGGAGGAGGAGGAGGAGGAGGAGGAGGAGGAGGAGGAGGAGGAGGAGGAGGAGGTGGAGGAGGAGGAGGAGGAGGAGGAGGAGGAGGTGAGGAGGAGGAGGAGGAGGAGGAGGAGGAGGAGGAGGAGGGAGGAGGAGGAGGAGGAGGAGGAGGAGGGAGGAGGAGGAGGAGGAGGAGGAGGAGGAGGAGGAGGAGGGGGCACACACACAAACAAATACACACAAATCCCCTCCCCATGTTTTCCTCGGTTCTCGTCTTCCCTCCCCCTTCACATCGAAGATGGATTGTGGCTGTGTGTTATCTTCTTCCATGGAAAAGGGAGCCCAGGATCCCCCATACTTCCCCGTGCTCTCCTGGGATCTCGTCTTCCCTCCCCCTTCAAATCGACGATTCATTGTGTCCGTGCGTGATTTTCCCTCCTGAAAAAAGGGAGGAGCCCGAGCCGAACCGCGGAGTGCGACGAGGGCGCCCTGGAGGCTTCCATGAGGGACCACGCCAAGAGCTTGGGGCTTTCTCGGGACCCTCTCGGGGCTCTCCTGGGCCGTCTTGGGGCCATCTCGAGGCTTCAAGATGAATGCGCCCAGGGACACACACACAAACACACACACACGCACACAGACACACACACACACACACACACAGACACACACACACAGACACACACACAGACACACACAGACACACACAGACACACACACACAGACACACACAGACACACACACAGACACACACAGACACACACACACACAGACAGACACACACAGACACACACACACACAGACACCCACACACACACAGACACACACACAGACACACACACACACAGACACACACAGACACACACACACACACATATATATATATATATATATAGATACACACAAATCCTAGCCTTCCCTATATTTTCTTACATTTTCTGGGTGTTTGTGTTCGGCTTCCTCCACTCTCCATATGTTCCTACATTTCCCTGGGGGTCGACGATTCATTGTGCCTGCGTGTTTTCCCCCCCACCGACAAAGAACCCATCGCCAGCGCAAAGAAGGCGAGAAGGCACGAGCACCGATTTGCGCCAGGCTCTGGAGCCACCTTGGCCTCTCGGCGGGGTCCCCCCTGGAGGCCTCGAGGAGCACGGGGCGCCGCGACGGGGCGGCGCGCCTCGCTGCCTTCGCGCGCCCTCGCGCGGCCCCCCACTGTGGAAGTGTGCGGGACGGGAAACTGACCACAGCCACTGCTT